GAAAAATTCCCATAAAACAAGAGGTGAATTAAATTCTTCCCTCAGTCAGCATACAAAGTTCGTCATTTTTTATCTTATAAAGATACCGACACATTTACTTCCAGTTTTATTGAGAGCCGTATCACTGCAGCTGCCTTACGTTCGCAGTCAAAGTGGCTTTAGCTCACGTGGTCGGCATAGCGGTTCTTTTATGCTCGAATCTAATTTTCTGTTGTTCTAGACTTTAAAGAGACCTCGGAAAGCTATGAGACACTGACTGCACACTCTTACTGATAACAAAAATAAAAATTCGATAAAAACTTACGAAACAATAGGGCAAGACAAAAACATCGTTCGCAGCAGTCCATTACTCAGAAACAGTGTTATACTGTTTGCAATTATCACATACTTTCCTCGAGATTATTCTCCGAAGCTTACAATAAGCTGGCTATGTCAAAACCCTAGTATCTTTGCCATCCGATCACTGCTTTGCGAACCACAGCATGGACTACGGTGTTATCATGCTGAAATATGATATCATCGCTCTCAGTGTCTTCGCAAAATGATTTGAAAACTATCTGTAACAGTTCCGTATATTGTTTCACATTCACTTCATGATTAATTCAACAGTTTGGTGCATTTTATTGGCTCCAAATGCAGCTGAAATAATTAACGAACCATACCACCAAACATACGACTCATTGCAACGTTGATTTATTTTCTGAAATCAGTACGATTTCAGAAATATCAGTCTGTGCAGATCTGTTGAAATTTCGGGACTGTATCAATCATTGAATCGAGCATTTTAAGGAGGTGCATTTTAACGAGGCATTCGATAATATTCATTTTAATGAGGCGTTGTTATTGCCCAACTTCGCCAGCGTTCCTTCAACACTTATACTACAACGTTTAGCATGTTTGAGTAACGAAACTGTTTGTTCAGATTTGACAATGGAATAATTGGAAAAGTAACTGATGTTGTACAGCTTAACTTTTCACTTTTAATTCGGCTAAATAGAGTACTTAAATTTCATACAATTTTCGAGATCGTTGGTGTGACAGAATTGCTGCTTTAACTTTAAATTCGTAACACGTTCGTGGAGAGTAGAAATTTGAATAAGCTGCAAAATGCGATTAGTCACACATTTTGTCCGAGTGATCGGAATATAACATTTTAATAATTATATACAATGAACATGCATCCTCGTCGATACAGATCAAATTAAAGTGCATAATAATTTCAAAGAAAAAGACAAACAATAGATGCGATATGCGCGATCATTTTTAATGTTACAGCATTTATGCCACTTTCCTTCGCGATGAAAACGAATAGCATTCACGATCGCGAACGTTTTAACTTTAGAACCACCGAGCTATGAACACAACTAATGTACATCGTTTTAGAATAACGTCGTTTATTTCAACTTCGTACGACTTCCATTATAATATAATCCCGAATGAAAGAGTAAAAGTTTGCGTAAAAATGGCTCGTAGAAACAGTTCCACAATATCAGCAGCTGTAAAAGAAAAAAAAATCAGAAGGCAGATATTCTGACTGGTTCGATTCTGAGTTCCAGCGTCGAGCAATGCGCAGGAAACGAAATTTCTAAAAACGGTGCACCCGCGTCGCAACAACGTTTCCCAAAGTTGCCGTTATATTCGTTTCCGTGACAAGAACGAGATCGGAGACTGGCATATCGAAATCGCTTCGGCACCGCGAGTGTGCACCGAGCTCGTACGGAAGCGCGCCGAATGATTGTCAGCAGACAGATTCCTCTGGACCCGGTATCGGCGCGGAAAACGTCGCGTAACCGTTCTCTCTTTTACGATCGAACGCGTTCGAGCCGAATCGGCTGGCTGCTGTGCTCGACGTCGCACTGTGAATCGATGACGCGTCAAGGCTGGCAAAATACCTTGCGGGTGTGCCGTGACACGGTCGCATTAGATTTCACGGGGCGCAGTAAATCTGGCGAGTTCTTGCGAGCAACACGCGCGTCACGGGCCGCGCGTTTCGCCCGCGCGAGCGGCCGAAGTTTCGACGGGCTGCCAGGAACCCGCGTCGCGTCGGCGATATTCAGCCGCGTTTCATACGCCTCATTATTCCCCCGTTGTTTCCGGTGCCGCGACTTCGCGTATTGTTGCTCTTAACGCGCCGGTCTTCTCCTCTCTCGCCACCGGCAGCGATAAAACGCGACGGCGGCCCGGCCCGGCCCGGCCAGGCCCGGCACGGCCCGGCGTCGACGAGAAAGGACGAGGAAATGAATCGAGCAGCGCGCTAGAATCTGTTTTGCGCGTTTGATTAATTCCCGCCCCGGTTTTATTGTGCCCTCGGCCCGAGGAACTTTACAACGACGATTCGAAACGACTACGGGAAATTAATTACACTCGGGACAATGGCTAGGTATTTCTCGTGCTTCCTTTTTTTCCTCCCCCGTTTGTTTGCCTGCTCGCTTCTCGCGAGTACGGCAGGAAGGGCGGTTTATGGTCGCTTGGAACCGGTTGGTTGCTCGAGGATCGGTTCATTGACTTTCAGCCGAAGCTCTCGGCGGATCCTCGACTCGTTTTATTAGCGCGGCAAAATAAAAACGCCGGATACCGCTGACAGCGTGGGCGGAGGGATGTGTAATACTGCAATACCGTCGTTTGATCCGCAGCGGGTGTGCCGCCGGATCCGGAGCCTTGTGTGAGATACGTGGACGGCATGGAAGCGATTATTAACAGCGACGACGTGCAAGATAAGAAGAAGATCGCCGAGAAGGAGGGCATCCCTTTGGACTGCTTGTGGAACATCACCGTTAACGAAGGATGGAAGGTAAGGGCGCCCTGAACTTCTCCGATTTACCTCCCTCACCGCTCTTCTCGAACTTCGTAAAGGGTGACCGATTGCGCTTACGTTATCCAGGGATGTCGGTTATACGAACTTTGCTTAACCTTCCGCGTTTCGAAGGTATTCTTAAAGTATCCTTATGTTGCCACAACGTTACTGGAGAGTTTTTTGGAGAGTTTCCAAAAAGTGCGAGGGCTCTTGTCTCGATCGGAGAATTTAACAGGACTTGTTCGGTTTAAATGTAGTGCGGCAAATTGCTGTAAAGTACTACTTTGCTGCGAACTTCTACTAGAAATTAAATTATCTGCATTTCAGCTGTCCATTCTAGCTGATCCTAGCTTTCTTCTGAAAACAGATGAGTTCGCAAAATTCAGGATGGTTAATTAGCAGAGGTTCGCAAGAATCCGGAAACGTCGGGTCGTAGGACAAATCCGGAAAGTAATTTGTGAACATTTGTGAACATTTCTGGGCCATCTCTTGTTACCTTCTATCTCTAATTCAGTCTGTTCCCTAATAATTGCAGACGGTCTGGAAGTATCTATGCAATTATCAAGAATAAAGAGATCAATCGGAAGTTAGATTATGTTCAGTCAACTTAACAGCTTTTCGCAATAGATGTATTCATAATGGAAGGATTCAGTTTTTCAAACAATGCAGCTGTGGCGATTATTCCGCATGTCCGCGGAAGCGTTTCGCGCGGTCACTATTGCACGATCCTCGATGTTCCGCCGATATTAAAAATGTTTCTTGGAAAAGAACTCGTTTAAAGTTTCATACTGTGCCCACGTTTTTTCTACTTTTCCGATATTGCAAAAGTATTACAAATAAAGTTTTATTTTATTTATTAGCTATTTCGTTTAATCTTTAATCGGTTAACGAAATTTCTCCGCTGTTCCGACATTTATAAAATGCCTCGTGAAAAGAGAAGTTTAAACAAAGGCTGTTTTAATCGCCGTTCGGTCTATCAGCTAGCCCCGGGAATACGATCAAGATCGCTCGAATTGCAATCAGAGAATGCAATTTGAATCGCGCTCCTTTGTCACGAAATTTCCCACACGCTGTCTTTCGGCGAGCTTCTACCCGGGCCAAATGAAATCGCGTCCGACGCAAAATGTGTGCGCCGTCTAATTGGTACGATTTCTTTGATACTCCCCCCTCCCCCCTGCTCATAGTCCGCAAAAAGAGTTCCCCAGTCTTTACCATCTCGGTGAACACGTACATCTTTCAGATTCAGCTGACGTTCTCGGATCCCTTCAAGCTGCAACGACCGAACGAGTGCGACGCCAACTTCGTGGACATATTCAAAGAACGCACTGACATGTCCTCGAGAGTGAAGAATTTCTGCGGCAGCATCGCCGACACCGTGCTCATCGCGACCAATATCGCCTTTGTCAGGTTTTACGCCGAGCCGAAAGCACTGAACAGCAGCTTCGAGGCCGTCATGACAGCGCTCAGGGACAGGGACACGGGAGACAAACGTGAGTTCGCAGACGGTGCCGATTAATTGTTCAACCTGCCGCAGAACCGGCTCATCCATAGTTCGCGTCATTTTATGAAAAGGTGGAAACACTTCACGAATCATCTTGACACTTTCACCGCCACGTGCTTTATTTCGCGTTGTTTCTCTCTCGGATTTTCTTCTCTACTGAGCTAATAAACGAAGGATCTTTCCACTTTCGATGGTTCATTTACAATCTAGAAAATGAAAGATAGCAAAGGATAAACGCGATTCTTGTCAGTGAAATCTAGGATAATCGTAGAATAATCATATCGTCTAGGATAATCGTCTAAAGTGAGAACTTGGTTCTGTCTTTGTTGAATTTGTAGCGTTTTGCAGCAAAAGTAATTTCGCTTTTCCAAATAGATAGCTTACAAAAAAACCGAAAATACCTTTGCGACTCGATACGGTAAATTTTACCTAATCGATGCTCAGATTCTGCACAAAAATGGATAATTTTGAAAGAGGTGGTACAATTATTCGAGTCTCGCGGCTCATTTTTATAGTTACCGATTCTCAACAACTATAAAAATGAGTCGCGAGGCTGGAATAATCGTACCTCCTCTACCCGAACTGTCCATTTTTGTGTACAATCTGGGCGTTAATTAGGGAGAATTTACTGTAGATAGTTACTTTGACTTCTTTATAAGAAAGATAGCGGGTACCAATTATTTAAGTTACGACTTTTTAAACAAGATATCGATAGTAGTGGTATTAAGGGCATTGTAGCATAATAACTAATTGAAATTTATATACGATTATTTTTTAAGGTTATGTCAAGGTTATGTCTTTATATGAAAGATAGCGGGTACCAATTATTTAAGTTATGGCTTTGTAAACAAGATATAGATAGTAGCGGTATTAAGGACGTTGTAACATAGTAACTAATAGAAATTTATTTATCATTTTTAACGAAACCTTGAAATTTATTTCAAGGTTTCGTTAAAAATTTTGGGACATGCCACAAAAGATTTCAAAATATTTCTGTCTAAATACAATCGTACGAAAAATTGTACAAAAGTGTACAAAAAGTCAAATTTTGTTATTGCAACGTAAAGTGAATGGGGCATAAAAGTCTGAAAGGAACCGTGGCCGTTTAGTTAACCTTTTAAATAAAAAACGACGTTATATATCCGCCCTCTGTTCATAGTTGAACTTTTAACCAGCAGCAATCGAAAATAAATGAACGATCTCTCGACCACCAAATGCAACGCGGTGAACGATTGAATATGGTGCTAACGTCGACCGCGATTTACGCGAACGTAGCATTTAACGGTTGCGGTTTCATATGCGAAAAGCCAGTCGCGTGAATAAAAAAAAGCCCTTCCGTGGCCGGCGCGTACAAAGAACCCTCGAGTCCGTCAAAAGGTACTTCAACGTTAATTAGTTGCTAAGAGTTTCAAATTAATTACACACTGCGAAACAAGCCCCGGGATAACAGAGAAACTTATCGAACGCGATCGATGCTCGCTGGCACACCCGGACAAAAGTGAGTTAATTTAATTATATTTTTTAACGATACTCGACACGATAGTTAGTTACGCACCGGTAATTGCTGGTCACTCCGCGGACTCCGCCGCGAAACGGAAACTTTAATTTCCATTACATCGCGCGCGGATATTGCGAAAGTCTTTGTTCGCCTGGCACGGTTAGGAAATTTCAATGTTAAGTTTCATTAATGTTAACACTGCCGCGGCCCGTTCGCCACAGATGCGATATCGTGTCCGGCGAGATACGGAATAATGGAAGTCTAGTAAATGAACGCCGCGCCCTGAAGCGCTAAAAAATAGAAGCGCCGAAGAAGTACACGCGATACGACCACCGACAGGAATTAGGTGAATGCCGATCTAATCGCCGGTAAGACAGAGGGTTATTTTTCAATCGGGGCAGAGTTTATAAACAGTGACCGACGTGAAGCATTAACAATTCGAATCGACCATTAGGCGGAATGCCTTGTAATGGCTGCTCCGTGGAATAGAATAACGGCAGCGTAAATACTCGGTGGCTAGTGTTTTAGTAGCTGTGCCGTGCTCGTGCTCGATTTTTCAATGGTTCGAGTCTAGAGATTATGCGCGCGGTGTGCCGACAAAATTATTACTCTCGGCGGACTACCTTGCCTTTCACGAGAGGAAACGTGCGCAATCTAACGGATGCGACGATTTTAATGAAATTTTTTGGAAGGCGGATCCACGGTGACCCGAAAAGGTGCTCGTGCACGCGAATCATATTTATTAAACTCGGTATTCTCGTTTCTTTAATAGTGACTCCTAATTAATGATTTCAAGTATTGCTCTTAACGTCTTGCGCTTGAACGCATAGTTGTACAGTGAATTAGCTTAAAAAGTTTACGCACCTGTACAACCCCGCTGCGTTCCTCGATTCAATGATATAGTTAAAGATAAAGATGTCTCAAATGTGTGGAATTAGTATTTTCAATTTTGTGATTTATCTAAAGGACGAAGAAAATATATAAGTACGCTCTTATACTTATTATAATACCTTTTGTTGCAAAAACGATGCTATACGATATTCAAATTATTTACTAATTTGACATTATTCAATATTGTACGTCCAGCAGCCATAATTTTGAAATATTTCACTGTGATGACTGATTTCTGCGTAATTGCTCACTTTATTAATTAATTGATCAACTTAATTGATTAAGTGCAGAGTTGAGCATTGTTCGGATTATTTCGAATAAATATTTACCTAAAATAATTATCCGAACGAATTCTTTCTAGTCGAATATTTTATTCGAATGATTCACTGTTCATCATAAATTATTCTATCTATTTATTCGAACAATTCGAAAAAGAAATAAATCGATGAACTATGAGAAAGCACTTTATATTCTATTCAAATTCTTATTCGAATAAATTTCAATCTAGCTACATTTTTATTCGACCGAATATTTATTTGACAGCGTCGACAAAAGCTTTACTTTAGCCTTCATCTTTTATCCGCCATCCGAATACAATTTTACCGAACTCTGCTCATCACTCTTACGATATAATTCTTTCGTCATCGTATCATTCTTATGATATCTTCTGCAAAAGGCCTCCAGCTGTCCACTCATATAATATAGTATATTTACGTTCTACAAACGAGAAAGAGCAATCACAGCGGAAACGATATTTGTACGCTTATTGACATCCGCATTACCATTGAAAAGTCACGAATGCAAACGCGTCTGTCCGTTCAGCATGTTCAATTAACACGACTCTCGATCCGCACTTTGTCCGAGCGTCCATCGTCGGTAACGAATGATATCGACGGATATTGATAATCTGCTTAACAAGTTCACATCGCCGGGTATAATTGCCAGTGAAAGGATTCGAATTCTATATTAATGGCGGCGGCGATCCCGGCTGAATAGTTAATGCAGTAAGCTACCAGAGCGAATGGTGCGGTCCCTACAAGTATGGAATTCACCGGTCTATCTCTGCACGGGAAGAATTTCTGGTTTTCCGCACCTGGCTTCGCCGCGGAACTAATATCTTACAAGCGGCTTGCCCACGGACCCGGGAAATTCACTTATTTCCCTATCTCCCGCACGATAAGATTTTAAATGAAAATCTCCGTGGCCGCTATGCTCGCGCTGCGAGCTACTTGCGTTAACAATATATTCGAGAGTATTGGTTGTGAATTGTGATATTGCTTCCACGTCGTTAACAATTCGAATTCGGTCTGGTAAGGAATCTCCTAACATCTTATACGCGAGGCTAGCGTACAAATCAGTAGGGATTTATTTTAGTATATTTTCGTAGTACACTGTGTTAAAACCGTTCGCATTTGAATGGCGATTCTGAGGAACCACTAATAATTGCTGGTAAAGTAATTTTTACATTATGAAATTCGTTTGTAAAGAGCTGCCAAAATTGTATTGTATTAGCAAATAGCTCAATTTAGACAAATAATACAAAATTAAAATATTATACGTCAGAAGAAACGTGTGAAATTAAAATAGTTTTAGTGCAAAGGGTTAACAATCCTAAGCGATATATTCAGGGATTGAAAAGGTTCCAAAAATAACTGCCTCGAACTGTTATACATGTGTCAGTTTTGACTAAAACAGTTATGGAGAACCGAAATAGTTTCATAACAATTATGAACATACATCGTTTCTGACTTATCGGTTTCGGCTTCGATTCTTGATATAATATTATATCGGTTTTGTAACCATTATTTTTCGGTTCTGGATTTCGGATATACCTGCAAGTATTGGCAAAATTCACTGTAGTGTAAGAGATTGTACACCCATTTTCTGTGTAGTAGATAAAACAGTATATCGGCTGTAGTTTCAGCTTGTTCATAATACAAAGTATCTCAGAATCCATACTTTTTAGGCCGAAACGAAGTACAATGTATTTGTTACGTGAAGTGGAATTAGAACCAAAATCCATAACCGAAACTCAGAACCGAAAAATAACAGTTACAGAACCGATATAATAATACCGAATATATGCAATATACAGGGTGTCCCAAAATTATGGCATTTCCGAGAAATGAGGGATTCCTAAGGTGATTTGAAGCAATCATATTTTCACAAGGAAACAGTTTAAAATGATAGCATTTTTATTTCTGTCCTCGCGGTATTACATTAGACTAATGGTAAACAATTTATCTTAAAATAGACATAAAAGATGAGACGAATAACTTTTTCGCTTTAATGTTTCTTGCAATGTACCTTGCTTGATTTGAATAAAAATGATAGAATATAAAGTGTTTTTCCATTGTTCGTCGATTTACATCATTCGTATTACTTTTTTGAATCATTCGAATAGAGAACCATTCGAATAAAGAATTATTGGAATAAATTGATATAATAATTTATGACGAACAATGAGTTATTCAGACAAATATTTATTCGGAACAATCCGAATAATGCCGACCTCTGCTCATCAGGACAAAAGAGCTTGCATTTAGTTGCACATAGTTTAGATTGCATTTAAAAGTGGAGAAAGCGCGTTGCATCAGATAGCGAATGGCGACCATTGGTTCTCCGTTGATCCGACCATTTGAAATTTCGAATGTGCGATCCCTTCACCCGTTTCTTTTTCTCTTTTTTTTCAGCGTGCAGCGATGACGAGTACTATTGCGAGGACGCGACTTGCATCGCATTGGATCTGCAGTGCAACGGGAGGGTCAATTGCCGTTTCCGTTGGGACGAGGATGAGCAAGTCTGCAACGTGAGTAAGCGAGCATTGTGTCAAGACTAAATTCAATCCACCGTCGCGACGCGACGCCTCTAAGGCCGCTTGAATGTTTTCCGATTTCCGAATCATTTCCACCTTCGCTCTTCCCTTCTCGTTCCAACTTAAATAGAACCATACATTGCCCTGTGGGGCACGATCGAAATGTTACCCAATCGAAGCCCTGTGCAAGTAGAAAACGAGAGAGAGAGAGAGAGAGAGAGAGAGGGAGAGAGAGAGAGAGAGAGAGGGGGAGAGAGAGAGAGAGAGAGAGAGAGAGACTAATATATGGCAGTAACGGATGAAAGATTAAGACGAAAAAGGAAAAAAGGAAGGAATTGGTAAAACGCATTGTTGTTTTAAATCTTCTCCAGAACGACGTCTCGCGACCTATCGGAAGAAATACGATCGAACTTCGATTCGTCCGAGAATAATATTAACTTGTGCATATCAGTTGCAGACAAAAATCAAGTTCTACTTTTTCGATTGTTTGCCGCCGTCGACCACTTTTTAGTCGATCAGAATAGGGGCCAGTCTTTAAAAACTTGTACCACGCTTGCTTTCAAACAGTTTCTGATTTGTTAACGATAGTTGTTAGTTCAACAAACGTTTTCTTTCGTTAAGTAGTAAATTCCGCGATTTACCCATACTTTTATGCACGATGGACAAACTTAACCCTTATACGAGTTACGGAGACGGAATCTGTCAGAGTAACACTAAAATATATTGTTTATAAAATGAATACGATATTAATATTCACATAGAAATTAAATATGACATGTATCGCGAATTCTTATTGCGAAATATTTCATAGTTACGCAATATAATATGCAATAATACTTACAGTAGAATCTGTCAGACTCTGTGTTTTGCAATTAAGCCTCAAAAAAGAAGCGGTGCACACGGACTTTGATATTTGTATACTAAACCAACTACAGTAAATTCTCCCTAATTGATGCTCAGTTTGTACAAAAAAATGAACAATATGGGAAGAGGAGGTACAACTATTCGAGTCCTACAATCGGTAATTATAAAAACGAGCCTCAAGGCTCGAATAATCGTATCTTCTCTTCCCATATTGTCCATTTTTTTGTACAAACTGAGCGTCAATTAGGGAGAATTTACTGTAGTATGCTAAAAAGGGGAATTCTTATAGTGTTTCTCGTCAGATAGATCATCGTAAACTAATGTCCACCATGTCATAGACCATAAAAACAACTACAAGAATTTATTTAAACTTCGTACGATTTCGTAAAATTTCTTATATTATTATATTCTTTTAAAATAGGAACATTTTTATAACATCAGGAACTGTAAATGAAAAAATCAGAAACCAGTCAGTTAGCACTGAACAACGATGTGTCGTTGTTCGCAACGCAATTTTCATTTTCGGCGTTAGAAAGGGTCGAGTACCTGAAACGCGCATCCGTGGATTTCATAACGTAACGAACGTTTCCTGTTGTCATCGATGTCAGACTCACAAATCCCTGTTTTTCTTATCATTTGCTCCAATTAATTTACCCGAGCGGCAATTCAAGTCTCCCAGGAGCAGGAAGCGCCCTCTTTTCCCCCAGAAATGGAACAGTTAACCCTGTTTACGTTATCAGTCGAGGAGCGAGCGTCGCCAGCGACTGGCGCGGCGCTGCTTTATGCATATATATTTGGATAGGAACTGCGAAACTTCAAAGATCTCGAGGAACTTTGGGATACCGTCGCGAAGGAGCATTAAAATGGATCTTTAATAAGGTGTCTTCATTCGTCGTAGCAACTGTACACTGTTGCCAGCAGCCTGGTTCGCCGCTGTGTCTTCGAGCGAGACACTTCAAAAGACAACAAGTAATATACGAGAAGGGTAGTCTGCTTCGAAATGCAACCGTCAGGGAAATCCCTCAATGATGGCTATCCGAAATAGGTTCCGCTGAATTATCGAAGTAACCAAATGAAAGCGTACGTCGACTGACACGGTGTGCGACATGCATTCGCCGTGCTCGTTCCCAGTTCCCTGCGAGTACGTCATCGTTTTATGTCCGGAATTATACGGGCTTTCCATTTCTTAGTAGCAAATCTCGGGAACCCGGAAGTGCACCGACGCAAGAATAACGCGTCGCCTAGAGTTAAGTCATTTCCCACCATTTTACGCAGTTCCCACCCTTCTCGAGGGAGCTAATTAATTTATTTCGAAGACGGTTCTGATCTGCCTAGAGCCGAGCTACTCCTTTCAGAGGTACTGTTCGGTGTTGAACATTGTGACATGTATGGGTCTTGTGTGCATAAATTGGGTTCAATTCAAGAACACCGAGGATTTTCCTTCTTTTGTCGAGAAGTTATTTAAGAATATCCCGTTTGCGGTATACGTATTTATTGCATAGAAAATTTTGCTACTTTACTTACTTATATTAACACTAATATAATTGTTATTAATTATATTAATAATAATGACGACCGAATAATGTGACGACCATGATCTTAAATTTCACGTAAAGAATACCAAATTAATTTTGTGAATGTAATTATTTAAAATTGTGACTGTTTTATTTGTTAATTTTATCACTAACATTTATTTATTTACTTAACCAGTTAGTTGTTTTTTACTACTATACTCGTCGAAATACAAAATATTGCCATTTCTTCACGAAAGATACACTCGTCAAAAACAGCTAACTGATTAAGATATTAATAAGTTATTTCGTATCGATATATTAGTAGGCAACACACATTCGACCGAACAACTGTTATCTTAAATTGGAAGCGTCAATGCTTCCCTGAATTTCATGTATTTACGGCAAAAATGGGTAACCGAAATACAAAACAGTGAAGAAGAATTAAAAAATTCTGTTGGCAAGAGAAATACATTGTTATGTAACTACTGTTTTCTACAATTGAAGCACGAAGTTTCGATTTTGCATAAAAATCCGCGATCTTTTGTTATGGCATCACATTGCGTTGATAATGACATTGATCATTTAAAGATAACTTTTATTTCATACATTAAGAATTTCGTCAAGCATTTTCAAATAGACCATATCGAAACGATATTCTAAATTACTTATTATAATAGTAATAATAAATTACTATTTACATTTCGTGTCTAACCGGTTACATGTTACAGATCCTAATGACTATCGCGACTATAGACGTTAGTCCCCGTGCAACTGGAATCGCATCTGATCGTGGCTCGATACGCCATTAATATTCCATGAATTCTTGATTTAGTTCATTTGGAGTCGAGCTTCTTTGTAGGAAATCCCGGTATTCCGGTGCGCACAATCCCTCTAACAGACTTAATATTCTCTCTCCTTCAGGTCCAATCCTTCTTTCTCTCTCCTTCTCTCTCTCCCTCTCTCTCTCTCTCTCTCTCTCTCTCTCTCTGTCTCTCTTTGGTCACCCCGACGGCGGTTAATTAATTTATTCAAGGCTGCTTTTGCTGGCTCGGGCCAGTCATTCCGTTTCCCTGACCTCCGACTCGCGGTTTCATGATATCCGAATGCGTATCGTCCCGCTGCACGGCAGGGTGTATCCGGTTCCGGGGGCGCAAAATAGTATGGGATCCTGGCAAACGACCAGAACAGACTGCCTCCGGAACGACGACGGCATCGTGGCACCGACGGGATATTAATCTAGCGGGAAATAATGCCGGCGATATGCTACCATTCGATCCTGCTCTTGTTTCGGCGCGAGATGGTTGCTTTGACCGTATCCGGCAAACGAGAATCGATGCGGTTCGAGTGGTTCCCGTAACCCATTGCTTCCCCCAACCCTTCTTGGCTCGCAGCACCAGTTTCGGAGCTTTTTTTAGTCTGCTCCCACTTTGGGAAAGCTATACTACCACAAAGACCTCCTGGTATAGTTCCGCGGAAAATTTTGGGCATTTGGAAAAGTTGCATTCGAATGGAAGACGATCGAAGTGGAAGTAGAAGTTTTAGCTTCCGTCGGATTCCACCAGAATCTGAAACACTCGCGATTAGAACAACAGAGCAAATTAAATTGTTCCATTTGTAAAAGCAACGGAGGCTTTAGAAATATGGATTTTCTGAAATTGTGAAAAGTATTCGCACACGAGCGAGAAGGTGGAGAACAATTTACGCTGCAACGGACAGTCAGTCACGAAAGTCTTCGTACACCTTTTGAAATGCAATAACTATTTTAGAATTACACTGAATGATTTGAATTTTTTTATGGTAGGACTAATCTACTAGGCAATGACTAAAATACTCTTTTTTAATTTTGCTATTACTTGAAATGACAGAGAGATAAAAAAACTTTAACTTTTTTATGTGAGCCTATGACGAAAATTTGAAAAATGCCTCTCGTAGACCTCGGTAATTATATGCGTGCTGAAAATTGCATCGAAATGGAAGTAAGCCTTAAGTAAACAGTAAATACTTGATCTTAATAATGTCCCCCTTAAATTCTTGTGACGTTTTTACCTACGATAAAGTAACAAAGAACTTCGTGAATACGAATATTGTTGTCTCGACAATCCGCTACAATTTCCTTTCTTCCGATTTATTTATGTCACCGAGCGAGCATGATTCTATCTAACCATTAACATCCGCGAAATGTGCAAACTCTTTCGCTTCTCCAATACTTTAATTTCGTCAGGCACGCGTAGAGATGCGTGAAAAAAACTAGAGCTACGCTTTTGCTTGTCGAGTTCCAGGAACGTTTGCCGGTCAAAAGGATGCGCGTAAAACAATTTTGAAGATGGTTTGGTGGGACGCGATCCGCTACAATGGGACTCGATATCGTTATCGATGCACGGTTACGGTGTATTTCGCGAGAGAACGATAGGGAATCGGTATTCGCCGATGCAAGGATTCGATACGCGCGGCGCATGGAGCGGAACGGAATTAGAAATCGTGGGCCACCATTGGCCGGAGCTCGCAATGGATCGTGTTTCGGTCGCGGTTGCGTATCGCGGAACTCCGGAAATGTTTTTTTAACAACGGGTCCTGCCTGCCTGCAGCGGGAAAAGCGGCGTTAAAAGCGATCGTTGT